GACCAGAATGAAAAAAGGAATGCTTCGGTGGTAAGGTCATGTAGAAATTATGGGCGAGGAAAGAGTAACAAAGTGTTGCAGAAGTGGATGGTAGAGTCGGGAAGGGACGCCCTAGGCAAGAGTTTATTGATCAAATTGGCGATATATTGAAGATGGGCCAGATTAATAGTACGCTTAGTCAACGAGCATGTAAGCATGTACGCGTAGGTATATGGATGTAAAAGAGGCGAGAGCAGTGTGTCTGAATCGTACCAAATGGAAGTCCGTAGCCCCTGTCTAACCCTTTGGGTGACAGGTGTGTGTGTTTATATACTATGATTATATAGAGGGTGATCTCGTTAGGATAGCAAAGGTGAGAGTAGCGGCACCGGGTCAGAAAAAAAGGTGCTGTTGGAAGTTTGGTTCTGTGTCAGGGCCCATATAGGATTTAAAAAAAGGGGTCCTCCCAAATTAGTGGTTCCTTGTAAAAGACACTCCTTTGACGAAAATAGAAGCAAAGTATGAAACAACTGTTACCATGATAAAAGAAATGACAAATATTCCGATGGTTGAATTTCAACATCTCTGCTTGCTCTTCCAGTGAAGACAGTGATAGTAAAAATGATAATATTTGTAATAAAAACTAATTGAAACTAAGTGCTATGGATATGATTTGATTATTAATATAAAATGTCTAATAAAGTTATATATTCGTATCATAACTGAATCCTATAAAATTTGCTGATTCAAAGTTAGTGAAAGTAGTAGAGATATAATTACGTATAAATAGAACAAAAATTAAGACACTAATTCATTGAGTTATATGTACTACGTACTAGAGAAGCTATACCAAACAAAAAAAATGTACTCTTTGTCTTCGTGCATGCGCGGGAGATAGTAGAGTCGCGCATGCGCAATTTTTGTCATCATAGATTATACGTAGGTACGAGTAGAATGATAAGTATGTAATAAGTAATTGTTTATTAGATTGTGTTGTTAATTATGTCGAGTACAATTTTTTAATTGTTATTCATTTTGCATATGTGTTAATTTAATATAATATAACATAATATTATGTCAGAATTACATTTTAATGATATTTTATTTCATATCTTAAAAAGTAAATGTTTAAAATATAAAAATATACATTTATTATCGAAGATCATTATTATTACTTTTATAGCATTCTCTAACGTATTTATACGCAGCTGGAGAATAATTAAAGGTGCATGCAGTATATAATAAATAATGCGTGCTCTGTTTCCTCTTTTTCATTAAAGATTTATGTAAGCCACAACTTCTGCTTTAGCCATTAAATCAATCTCAGCATTTTGTTTGAGACCGAATTTATGTTTAAAATTTTATGCATTTGATTAGCATTTGATAGCTGCAGATTCCTTGCTATTAAATAAAAAAAAAAAACACAATATTACAACGTGCTCATATTTTATTATTTTTATAATGACATAGAATTATTGATTCCGTTACTAATGTCATTCATTCCATTACAAGGTATTTAAAATATTAGGCTTCGTATACATCACTCGAATTAGGCTTAGGACACATTTCTTGCGTAATTTATTTTCAAGTACAATATAACTCAATGCACTAAATATATTTTAGTTTAGCTACATGTTGGGCATAATTAAAATAAAATAATTTTTAATTGTAATTTGTTGTCTTTGATTATTGACAGTGAGTTGAAGTGGTGTAACTCTCACACCACACTGCTATAGATATTGAGTGACGGGTATTAGAGTCGGGTAAGATTGGAGTTTGAACTCGTCGCCCATGATTGACTTGAAGTACCGCAGCCGATGATGGTGTGTCGGTGAAGGAAGTAACTCTCACACCACACGGCTATAGATATTGAGTGACGGGTATTAGAGTCGGGCAGGATTGGCGTTTGAACTCGTCGCCCATGATTGACTTAAAGTACCGCAGCCTATGATGGTGTGTCGGTGAAGGAAGTAACTCTCACACCACACGGCTATAGATATTGAGTGACGGGTATTAGAGTCGGGCAGGATTGGCGTTTGAACTCGTCGCCCATGATTGACTTGAAGTACCGCAGCCGATGACGGAATGACAGTGAAGGAAGTAACCCTCACACCGCACGGCTATAATTAACATTTAGTGAGAATTTTGCGCGTCGGGCATGATTAACTTATGAATTGACCGCCCATGAATAGCTCAATTGTTATAAGTGACAGCTTTGTGAGAGTGGAAGAAGTAGAAGATGGTTACCACTATTCATTAAAATTGTGTAACAGTTTATGTAAGTTTAGGGAATGTGAATTATTGTACAATATATTAAAAATTAAAACAGTATTATTATATCAACTTATAAGCTAAGAAGAAACGAAGGGACTCGTTTTTGAAGGATGGCCGACTGTAACAAGCATTTCCCATTAGAGTAGTTGTTTACATCACTCCATTAATACTAAAGAGTCTATGGTCAAGTCGTATTATGCCTGTGAAAATAATCGATTACGTTTCGACTCGATTGTGTTGAAGTGACATCAAATATTGTCTGTGGATTAAAAGGTAGCTCTTAACAGTCGGGTCGGGATCATTCAGAGACGAGCCGCCGGAGTGACAAGAAGGTTTGTGATGATATATTATGTTATTTTGTTATACTTTAGCTTTGATATAGTTTACTAGAAATAAATGTTGTTACTGTATTGATTAATTCCTTTTATTTAGAATTCTATGATTCACTTTTGAGATACCCTTACACTACCTTGCGGCCGAGCACAACTGCAGCCACACATCGTTGGGCGTCTTTCTCGATATAGTAGTGATTTTATACTCTATGGTACGTTCACCCTCACGTTCCCTGGTACTAATCTTTCCGATAGCGTGATCAGCCATTTCTTATCAAGAATATTTTTCTTATATTTATTTTATTTACTACTCAGTAATATTTTATTTTTAATTATGTCAATTCCAACAAGAACAAATGAGCACAATGAACAATGAAGTAATAAAACAATTTCATCACTTTAGACAGGCAGAAACATACGCATAGCTAGTGTATAAAATAAAAAAAGAAGTTTAGATACAATTTTTATTAGTCCTTGTTTTTATTTATGTTTATTCGTTATATAAAAATATTATTAGTGAATATCGTAACCGTGGCAAATTATATTTATAGGTGTGTTGAGCGTTTAAACGCTTTCTTTTTTGTCAGAAAACTCCGGGGGCACAAGCATAAAGTTTCGTCGTAATTGGATACAAATGGTGTCGGAACACATACGCGACAAACAAAAAAAAACTTAAATTTTTATACATAAGGTAGGTGGGTAGTAAATGGCTAAATTGTAACAATCAACATTTATCCTATCCGCTTCCACCTAGAGATAAGATCTTAGAAGATCTAAGTTTTGCTTGTCCGATTAATATTTTAATTACTACTTCATTAACTTCGTGTGCATTTCTTCCTTCGCTTAAATATTTCGGGAAGACCAATTTTTAAAAATATAAAATCTGAAATTCTGTACATAAACACCCTATTTATCTATACAAATAAATAAAATTTAAGTGTCTGTTTGTAACGTCAAAATTACAGCTTTTTACTAATTGCATATGAAAGTATATACGGTACTTATAACAAAAACACAATTATTAAAATTTTTGTCTGTCTCTCTGTCTGTTTGTGCCGGCTAATTTCCGAAACGGCTGGACCGATTTTGACGGGACTTTCACTGGCTGGTAGCTGATTTCATAAGGAGTAACTTTTATTTTAGAAAAAGAATTAGGGTTCCGCGCAAAAACATAATGACTCTAACACGTGAGCGAAGTCGCGGGGAACAGTTAGTACTTCATAAATAATGTGGTTGCTCATGGATTACAAAATACTACTATTGTTATTTGTAACAAAATTAATTTCATTTTGTATGCCACTTCGTAATATGACAGTATAGTAAATAATAATATTATATGTACTTCGTAACTACTAGGTAGCTTGAAGTGGTATTGAAACATGGATAAGGGGTAAGCTGATGCAAATAGCAAAACACCATGCTTTCTTATTATCTTTGAGGAAGGCCTATGTTCAGCAGCAACTTCTTATGACAGCATTATCATGGAAATTAATATTTTGATGTATTATTACAGTAAAATCATATTATACAAATGTATTTACATTTTAAAAAATCCACTAAACTGTACCAAGATCCTTTAAGCGTTGGCAACTTGTCAGACAAGGACAGGTTACTACTTTTAGCCTGGCTCGAATTACTATTATCAAGCGTGTCAAACAAAAACGAACCTTACGACTATTATTTAGAATACAAATTTGTTAAAATACTAGATTGATATACTCGATTCAGTAATTAATGCCATTTGACTTTAGTAGGTAACAGATAACAGTTACATGTTGTAGGTAACACGTACATTATAGTTTTGAGTGTGGTTTTAAACTTAAAAATGTGGAGTTTTCCCTATGGTGTACATATTATATTATTTATGACGGCAACAATAAATTTGTGGTTCCCTGCACTCATGCAAAAGGGAGATCGATTTTAGCGAGTGACGAAAACAGTGTCGCGATAAACAATTGAGTTTATCGGCATCTTATTATTGTAAAACTGTACTGTATATTATTTAATATTAATAAAAATTGGTGTTATTAAATTAAGCTGTAATCAAGGAATATAATAAATTTTGAATATGTAATACTGCTACGAGTTAATATTTTACAAGAGTTTGCTTATAATTTTGTATGAACTTCAGCAGTGTGATGAGTGTGAATGAAGTAAGACTTATTATTTTTAAAAAGTAAATCGATTAAATAAAAATTTTAATCAATGCATGTCAAATATGACAAAAGTATGTTTGTGTATCTTATCTTAGTATAAAAATAACGGAATAATAAAATATTAGTTAAGTTCCGTATTGATATACATTGAAACACAAATTTTTAAAAATGTCTTTTACTTCCTAATTGAATTTCATTGTTATGTTTTATTCTATTTATTTTTAGTACTGTATAACATAATCCAAATTCGTTTATCACAATGGAATCACTAGTAAAAGTACCATATAATTTGTGGCCTCAACTACGAGATTTATATCTGTTAAATTGGCCGAAGGGAGCAAGTGCTTATTGTCTATTAGATACACAAATAAATAATCCAAAATTAAGAAAAGAATTTAATTTTACAGTGTTTTCTCCGTTTGGAGACATAAATAATGGGATGATAGGCTTTACACACATGGTAAATACGTAAATATACCTACAATAATTGAATTTGCAGTTTATATTTAATGTGTGCCACGTTCTGATATTTCATTTAATTTTTACAGGGTGAATCCGTTCAAGTTATAATTCTGCCTGTCAATAACACAGTAATGATAGAAAAAGCTTTATTAATCACAAATTTAATTGACTGGAATAGAAATGTATTAGTACCATTCGCCAGTCCCGACGTTGTTGACTGTCTTCTGAGATTATCCAAAACAAAGAAAATAACAATTATATATGAGAACGGCAAAGGTGTTAAACATCTTTTAGAGAAAAATTCCACAATTTTTAACATTAGGTAAGTGACATTACTTGTGAAGTTTATCATATAAAGTATATAATTTCAGGAAACTAGTCGTTAATTTTCATCGTTGCAATGTGCTTAGTTTTCCAGATGATACTTATATAGCATCCTTAACGCCAGAATATATTGAGACTGTAGACAAAACTTGGTCATATTATAGCAAACAATCTAACGAATTCTTTAAAACCCTAATGGATAACGATATGACATACGTCCTTTATTCGTCTAACGATCACAAGCCATTAGCCTGGGTCACTATAAACGAAGCTGGAGCACTTACGCACCTCTTTTGCCTAGAGCCGTTTAGAGGACGGGGATATGCCGAAACTGTAACTAAATTTGCGTGCAACGACCTTTTAAAGAAGGGTAGAAACGTATTGGCTTACACCATTGAAGATAATAAGGGTTCGCAGAAATTGCTTGACAAAATTGGGTTTAAGGTTATTGGGTACGATTATTGGGTGTTCATTAAAAAAGATTCATAATATATTTTGTGTTTTATTTCATTACTACAGCTAAGCCCGCAAATTTTTATAAAAGAGAAGGCAAACGTGCATGCGCCTCACCCGATGGTAAGCAATCACCTTCGCCAATGAACATCTGCAATACTAGAGGAATTGCAGGTACGTTATCAGTCTTTCACAAAAAGTGTGGTGTTTTCTTGAAGGTTTCGTGGTGATATAAATCATCCCGGTCACGCCACACGTAAAATACTTAATCTTTCAATACTACATAGTTATTTAGATAAACGATTGCCAGTCCTCGTGCCAATTGAATATTATTATGAAATAGCCTATTAATTAGCACAATATTTTTATTACCATCCCTTTTGAACTATTCTCGTTATTACTAAAATTACAGTCATTAATATCCTAATTCAACTTTTTTTTTATTCTTGCGTTTTCAAATAACAGATTTTTATAATAATAAATTTTTGTCCTATCTATATTCATTTAAAGAACATGTTAATAATATATCTATTCATTGTTCTACGGGCAATCGCAGTAGAGGAACCCAAATAGTGTGACGACCTGGTAAGACATGGAGGAAGTCGATGTATGCAGATGGCTCAGGAGCACGCTTTGTGGCATTACTTGGTGAAGGCATACGTTCAGCAGTGGATAGTGTGTGTTAACAGTGGTAGAGCCACGCGGCAGCTTTTGCTGTCGCACGGATGGGCCGGCTCGAACCGGGGTGGTACCACGACCTCACAGAAAACCAGCGTGAAGTAACGGTTTACCTCTGCGTTTCGCTTGGTGAGTGCAGGTGGCCGGAGGCCCTTTTTACTGGAAATGAGGCATTCCATCTTAGTCCTCATGTGTGACAACACATCTACATTTTGATTTGTAATAGAGGATAGATGTAGATGTCTATGGGCCGCAGCAACCACTTACCATCAGGTGGACTGTGTGCTCGTTTGTCACCCTTATCCTAATTAAAAAAAAAGAGTTTATAATGTATGTGGAGGTGGTTGTGAAGAGCTGTAATAATGATAATGATGACGAAAAATTTGTTTGCTTTAAATTATAGCATTTTGCTCGAAATATATTTCACGACAAAATTTTAAAAACTTCTTATCACCGTACCACATGACCGTACTCTTCGCTTGTGTGTCATAATAATACGTCACTCTCGCAATTCATGCACAAACGCTGGTTAAATCATTCGTGCATTATCTTGTTATCTACAGACAGAAGTGGACGACTGACAGCGCGACTGTTTTTTAAACTATAAGGTCATTGCTATCTCAAACCAGTGAATATAATTATGAGTGAGGACGCTTTGATTTTTTTACCAGTGCATCGATGGGGAGAGCTGAAAAAGTTATTTAAATCAGATTGGCCTCGAAGTGTGTCTGGTTATACTATTCTCGAATATCAAGAGAGGATATTGCAACTCGGGCTTGATTATGGATTCAAAGTGTACTGTCCTTTTGGAGAATTATCGAATGGAATGGTTGCTATGAACATTAAGGTAAATAGTATTTATAATTAGTCTTATCATTGTTTATGTATCTTTCTGCAATCATAGTCTATGTTGTATCTTATCTCAGTCGCTATGTGGAATTTGTAATTTGAAGTCTTATATTTGAATTAATCAAGAAAAGTTAATTTTATGAACTACCTATATTTTAGTTATCTATGTTATATGACTAACTTGGAGCAATAACTTCACTTAAACCATGTAACAGCTGTGTAAGACTATCCACTGCCCCATATCGTTCAAGGTAACGTCGTAAGAGGCGACCGAGGTGAAAAACCAGTTTCGCAGCAGCGTCTTTTTAATAACAACTAAATTTAATAAAAAAAACTGCGGTTGTCAACCCTACATACATACATCAGCTGTAACGTATGCTTTGCTAATTAATTAAAATCAATTTAACAGCAATTTAAATTCGTAAAAACCTATTTCTATTCCAAAGTACTTTTCAATAAAAGGACATAGATTATTTTTATAACAAATTAAGATACTATTTCAGAAAACATTTAATGAAATCGTAATACAAAGTCCAAGTGATGATACACAAAAACTGGAGCAGGCACTAAGGAGTACCAAATTAATAGATTGGAAACAATCATTTGAAGTGCCTTTTGCACCTAAACATATTATGGACTGCGTGAGAAGAATAATCTTGGAAAAGAATTTAAAGATAGACAGCTTAACGTTCACAGAAACTTTCATGTTAGATAAAAGTAAATCTTTGTTTGAAGATGTCAGGTAATATTTTCATTCAACAAAACAATATGAATATCTTATTATATTAGGTAAAGAAATGAGCCGTAGTATCTTAGGGGCTATCCCTTAAGCTACCATAATCTTACTAAAATAACGTAAAAATTATATCGCAAGATTATATTCCCGCAAGATTACAAGTACATAAAACATTTGATATTTCTGCAAAATACATTATTTTCGTACTATTTCGTACGTAGTCGTACTCACAGAACACTATTATATCTCTACCGAGAGGTCGTACTAATCATCACCCATTTTGAACACAGATCACGTTGCAAGATGCATTCACTTCCATTATTATTGAAGCAACTAGAACGTGTTTCTACTTAATTTATCACTTGTTTAATAATACGAAATCACGGATCCTCTATTTGATCTCTATCGAACAAAATTTTAGGAAAAAGTTTTTAAATAATTAATTATTGGGCTTAAAAGTATGAATCACATCTTTCGGGCGCGGTATGTATACAAAGAAAAAATTATGATCCTGTTGCATAAGCATTGCCCAGTGCCCAGCAGAGGGACGTATATAGGCTGTAACTTTACTTTTACTTTATGAAGTATAAGCAAAAAAAATATGTTAGTACTCTAATGCTCAAATACTTAAACTGCTTGATTTTAAGATGCCGTGAAGTCTCGTGCTGTCTATTACTTTAATTAAAAGTCACTGACACTACATGACTTAACGAATAGAATAAACGCTATAGATGTTGGCCGAGCGAATGCGAGTACCAACGTATAGACAGCCCATTTGTCTCGCCTCGCTATTGGCCGTCGTCGCTCGCCTAGCTGGACGAGTGTAGGCGAGCGCCAACGTGTATATAGTTTATTTGACGTGTCTTGCTATCACTTAGGGGACATGATGATTGGTAACAATACCAATTCATAAACCATCATCATACTCATCCCCATCCTAATTGCCACCTTTCCAATTTTTAAATAGCTCGCGACCTGAAAGGCCCAGGCCGCAAGCTATTTAAAAATTTAAAAAAAAACCCTGTGCGTAGGCATTTCCCCGTGTAAGAAAGGCCAAATTTTACTAGGTAGTAGGACCCTTTTTCTCGAACATGATTTTGGTAAAAATTCCCTAAGGAATATACATCGAAATCGGGAAAAAAATTGACTTCTCATACAAAACAGAATCACGTGACTGGCACTTTTCTAATAACGCGGGTTTATTATAATTACTAACTATTATTATTATTACCTAATAGATAAACATGTTCAATAAGTTCTATTTTTGGAAGTATGTGTTTTTAAAACACAAAGTGCTCCAATATGTCGTCACCCATTTGATAAAAATATTGTGGACACTTTTAACACACTTGAAACGTGTAAAAATTTTCTACAATGGGCAAGCGTGGCTACTTTAGCAATATTTCCCGTAACAATAGGTAAAATAAAAGCCACCTGATTTTGCTTTAACATCATCTCTTCTCTTTCGACTTTTGCTTACTGTACTAGTTGATTTTATTACATTATCACTATAGCTGCGGGGTAGCCAACCAAATAATTGACTGATTTCACTTCAGCCAGTTGAAATCTGGCGTAACCTGTCTGTCGCGTAGGCTACCACAAGTATTTTGTCCACGTACCAAAAAAATAAGTATATATCGATAGTTCTAAAAAGTTCTTCCACGGAAATTTCTAGAAGGATCTTGACTCTCATAGTTTTGCTACTCGATACTAGAAGGCGCTAGTGGTAATTAGTTCCGCCATGTACCAGATATTAATTGTGGCGCGCAACAATATTTTTTTTTATAGGAGAGGGGGCAAACGAGCATGCGGCTAACCTGATGGTAAGTGACTACCGCCGCCCATGAACAGCTGCAACACCAGGGAGGGAATCGCAGATGCGTTACCGGCCTTTTAAAAAGGAGTACGCTCTTTTCTTGAAGGTCCCTAAGTCGTTTCGGTCCGGAAAAATCGCTGATGGTAATCGATTCCACAAGGAAGTCGTGCGAGGAAGAAAACATCTTCTAAATCGCACAGTGGTGGACCGCTAATCATCCAGATGGTGTGGATGGAATCGGGAGTTCTTCCGCGATGTGCGTTCGTGAAATTTGGCGGCTGGGATTAATCCGAACAATTCCTCAGAGCACTCCCCATGGTAGATGTGAAAGAAAATGCAAAGGGATGAGACATATCTTCGCAGTGCCAATGAATCGAGCCGATCAGATAGGACTCGGTCGTCGACGATTCTGCGTTGGATGCGGTCAAGTGGAAGGAGCTGGCACTGGGGAGCCCCTGCCCAAAGATGGGAACAGTATTCCATGTGAGGCCGAACTTGCGCCTTGTAAAGTTGCAGGCGGTGTGCAAAATCCGTTAGATTACAAGATATGGCAACACTTGGAGGAAAAGGCGTGCTCAAAGCCTCATCCCAATTTGGAGTCACTCAAGACATCCTTGATTAAGGCAGCCGCCGATATTGACATGGACCTCGTTCGTGCTGCGATAGACGACTGGCCGCGCAGATTGAAGGCCTGTATTCAAAATCACGGAGGTCATTTTGAATAAACTTTAGTGTCATAAGAATTTATGTTTTGTTAAGTACATTTTGGTACATAAATGGTTACATAATGAATAATCTTGTTTCAATTATTTGATATTAAACATGTGACAGAATTTATGACCTGACTAGTTATTTACATCCAAATTGTGACTTTACACACAATTTATTCACAATCTTATAATATAATTCACAAACGCCTACTTGATAACTATTTTACATCAAAGATATAAATATGATAAACGAGCATACAGTACGCCCAAAATGCATATTATTACTATACATAAATTATCAGTATAGAATATTAGTACATAAAGTATCAATATACATCAAGTACATCAATCATCTCTTATGAATCCAAAATGCAGTGTTGTCATTCCTATCGACTAAGATGGAATGCCCCGCTTCCAATAAAAGGTATTTCTACACCCATCATACGAAACAGTGGAAATTTACTACTATTTTACTCTGGTATTCTCAGAGAGTTTGGTCCTTCCCCGGTCGAGCCGATCTATTTATGCTGCAAAAATATTATAACTCCAGCGTGGCTCTACCATGAAATAATTAATTTATAAATAATTGAATCTTTCAGACTGCCAAAGGAGCTTACTTTCAAATTATTGTCACTTGAATACGTTGAATTAGTTAATTCTACCTGGCCACATCGATATCCTGGTTCTTCGTGGTACTACGAGCTACTAACCCGAGCTAACCTAGGCTACGGTTTGTTCAAAGAAAGCGAACTTATTGCCTGGGTATATATAAAAGAAATGGGTGCTCTCGGGCACTTATATACAGTAGAAGAACATAGAAGGAAGGGCTACGGAGAGTTGATTTTAAAGTTAATATCAAATATTCTGTTAAAGCAAGGTAGATATGTAGTCGCTTTTTGTGTGAAAGGAAATACTGGTGCTTATAAATTATATAACAAATTAGGATTTGAGCGTACTGATGAGATTGCATGGTGCACAATTTCACATAATAATTTAACAAACTAGATTTAAATAACTGTAGTGACCGCCTATTTAATTATTTTTGTATTTTTAATCTATACATATAATAAAACTGTAAATAGCAGATGTCTGTACATTTTATATTTTTGTAATAAAAGTGATTGAGGGGTACTAAAAATAAGTAATTAAATACATTTCTACCATTTTTAGAATTTTCTGTCTGTCTGTCTGTCTGTTTGTTTGTTAACGTATCACGTATAAAGTACTAATTTATATCATAAGAATTGTTAAGGAAATTATAAAGTGTATCTTCGTGTTACATTTAGTCTTTATTTCATTAAAATCAGTTCATTACATCAAAAGTTATGATAAATATTCTGAAGTATGGGTAGGGAAGTATAGGTACGAATTTGCTCAACGGTGGCTTTGTTTGAGTCATCAAGTGCATTTTAAACTAATATCATATCATAAATCATAGTTAAATTATGTAAAATAATGATATAATTATGTATATCTAAAACGCAGTAAACAAAAGTATTAAAGAACGTATTAAATATATTATACAAAAATATATTAACCTTATTAACTAAATCAGAAGCACAATAGTTAACCCATTTCTTCGATAGATGGTGGTGTTGTGAAAATGTAATGCAATTGCTATGTGGTTTTTTCCTGTAGATGAGTTTTCATATTTACTGCTAATCTTTATTATATTACTCGCTGCCCTACTGCGTGTTGACAAACTCAATTTATTCTTTACCGCCGAGTACTCTATGTGGTAAATCAAATTTTAAAAGAGCTATTAACAATTGCGTTGGTTTTGGCGAGAGTCAAACTTTATTTTTTGCTTACTGTGCAGGCACTGATTTATAAGTTCTCTTGCGTTTTATATAATGTATCAATCGCGTCAATTAATCTCTTTTAGTTTTAGAATTGATGTTAGCAGCGCCATCTCTCTTTAAATATATACATATAATAAAAATGATGATAACATGTTCTCTTTATGTACATTGTATATATATTTTGGTGGCTAAAATCATTATGGGGAACTGAAAATAATTAAATAAGAACATTTTATAATTTTTAGAATTGTCCGTCTGTCTATTTGTCTGTTTTTATGTTATAATCTTTATATTATATGAACGCATCACGTCTAAAGTAAACATCTTTTATTTTCAAAGAAATCGTTAAGAAAATCATAAAGCGTATCTTCGAGTTACATTTAATCTTTGTTTTATTAAAATTGGCTAATTCTATCGAAAGTAATGATTATTATTTTGAAATGTAGGTTCGAATTTGTTCAATGGCGCCATAAAATCTCAGAAATAGTAATAAAAAGATTTGTGTGTAAAAAAAACGTTCCATAATAATTAATATATTTATACTTAAAACACAAAAAGAGATTTAAAAAGGATTTTTTCTCACACAAAGGACGTAATAGATGGAGTTGTACAAATTACAAACTTTTCTGAATTGCTGTGTTGAGATTTTTCGCCGATGAATCGTATTGAGACTTACTGAAGAAATTTGTATCCATCGAAGCTATGCAACGGAACCCGACCAAAAATAAAAATTTTGCAACGAAATGTCGTGATATTGTATTTATAATATACGCAAAATCAGTACTGCCATTTTAGCGCTTTGGGAACTAGATTTAGCGCTTTTTTGGAATGTATAGCGCGCATTTCGAAATTTTAGCATCTAGCTTAATCCAGCGCTTTTTGGTGTATTTAGCACACATTTCAATATTTTAGCGACTAGCGGGTTATTAACTCTTTTATAGCAGCACTGTTAGTCCACATTACCGAAAATAATAATAATGACCTTTATTATTTTTTCCCACAAATAGTACATTGCAGTTTATCTTTTTCAAACATATTTTTTCCACAAAACAAAGAGCATGGGAGACGAGTCCAAACTAGGAAACCCTGTGTTATGGATCTCCTGGCTTCCCCTTTAGGATGATCAACTTGATTTTTTTACCGACGACTATAAGCGGGGAAATCCCCTTTATTAAAGTTTTCGTTCATGGTTTTGGCAACGCATTTATTTTGCTTTATTCAGTTTCAGTCAGTTGCTTAGAGCACAGCTAAGTTAAAAGTTACTTAGAAGTTATAACACAAAGAAACTGTGTAGTAACCGCAATCAGATGCTGACATCTGAAACTAAGTTGCGAAATACATTGCACTTTAAAACAATTAATGACATTTTTATTGTTCGTACAGTACTAACTACTGTTGACAGCAATTACCATAATTATAAGTCGATGTTCTGCGAAGTATTGATACATCAAAAAAATATTGCCAGAAAAAAAACTTAACGTTGTTTTCTTTATTATGATTATATAAAAAAACACTAACTTTGTTTGTAGTTAATTTAGCGCGAAATCTAGGGCTTTTTTAAAGCGCTGTTTTCATGAAATCTAGCGCTTTTTGTGTTGTCCTAGAGCTGAATGAGTTTATTTTTTATCTGGCAGCACTGCCCAAAAACCCTCTATTAAAAAGTAACTTTCCTTTCAGTTTTAAGCGCGTTCAGTTCCCAGTTACAGTGAGCGTGTGTTATGCGATGACCGTAAATAAAGCGCAAGGTCAAACTTTACGCGTTGTAGGAGTGTACCTCAGTACTGACTGTTTTGCACATGGCCAACTCTATGTTGCTTTTTCCCGCGTTAGTAGCCCCCGTAGCCTTTTTATGTACACCCCGACTAAGTCTACTTCTAACGTCGTTTACACAGAAGCTCTATCATAAACTACTTAGAAGTTTGATGATAATGATTTATTTTCTTATCACTTATTGATACAGTAATGAAATAAATCGTTTAATATTCTCTTACCTAAACGACAAATTCTTTATGTAAAACCTGTATACGCCAGCTACGCCGCGGGCACAGCTAGTAATTTATAAGATTATATTATTTACTACTAGTACTTAGGAAACAAGGACTAAACTTTTTAACCTTTGAAAAAGCTGTACGTTATCAACAAAAATGCTATGGCCAATAACTACAACTGTAACGTGATGTTATAAAAATGAATAAAGTCATCGTGACATATCGTTGATTATTATTATTAACATATTTGAGAATTAAGATATTTAGTATTTATATGACAACGTTATGTATGACCGAAAACACGAATTTTGTTTCACAAGAAATAATGATAAACATATACAGAAATTGAGAAGTGGTTAGAAAATAGATAATCCTAAGTTTGGATTATGATATTATTATATTTTGGATGGATGTACGCATAGAAACAATATTACACTTCTCAGAAAAAAAATAAAAAAATAATATAAAAAGTGTTTCTATTCCATGGCCTACTGTAGGCATAGGTCTATACTTTGAATGATTATTTGGATTACAGGGAGGCTTGAATAATATAAATCTTTAATACTAACTACTTTATGTGACACTGATATAATATACATTTGTATTACTATAAGAATATATAAAATGGTCCCACAGAAAATCACTAGTCCACTGCTGCTGCTAGCCTACCTATAACCATCGCTTGGCATTTCGTAGGATTGACAGAAACACCAAAGCGAATGGATGAATCATGGACAGACTTGAGATTGGCATTTGATTTGTTTATTGCATTATATATGTCACCAATATCAGACTGTAGAACAAATTGTAGGTCATCGGCATACAGATGGTACGAACAATAAATAAAACAATGTTGAATGTGATAATGTTATAATAAAAACAGAAGTTTAACTGAGAAATTATACCGCCTTGCGGTACGCCAGTAACAAGTTCAACCCACTGTGAAGTCATTTGCCTCACCTCAGAGAAATTACACCAGGACTGACGGTGCAAAATTGAGATGGGAAAAGATAACAAGGAGGATATTATGGTCAACATTGTTAAAAACGTTAGAAAAGTAAACGAGCACCACAACTCATAGAAGGGATTTTACCTTAGTGTTATCAGCGATTGTTAAATAATCCCTATTATGAATCATTATAATAAGAATTGTGTAATTATCGTTTTGTTTTATATTATTATTTTTTTTAATCACAAGTATTAAAAAGATTATAAGTCATTGTATTGTCATAATAATTATCATAGATAATTTTCTCAGTTTATTTTTAATTTAGAATTTGAGAGATTTGTAAAGAATATTATATAAATAATTTAATTTTCTAAACAATTGTAATTAATTGACTTATCAGTAATATTTATAACAGTGGTTTACTTATTTTCATATTATAAAAGTATTTGGATTGTATAATTCTTACACATTTGAACTGTTGCTAGGTTCAGTTTTGATAGGTAGTAGGGATAGCTGCCACCATTGTGTGATATTTTTTAAACGATTGCAATAATGATTGAGGTGCTTTTCATTCTGTAAAAGTAGTAAAGGAAACAACTAATTACAATCAGGCGTATTATTATTCCTTTTGGCGACTCCTGTAATATCAGTTAGCTCGCTTAACAGGCGGGTTGACAGCCGCTGTTGTGTTGTTGTTAGAAAGATGCTGCTGCCCGTCTCCTGTTTCAGTTACCCTCTGTCGCCTCTTACGACACCCAAAGGAACGATATGGGATAGTGGATATTCTTACACCGCCACTACACGATTAAAAGTAAGCATTTTTATTGATTATATTAAATAGTATTAATTACTGTTTTTTTTTAATAGGATAAGGGTGACAAACGAGCACACAGTCCACCTGATGGTAAGTGGTTACTGCGGCCCATAGACATCTATATCTATCCTCTATTACAACTCAAAATGTAGATGCGTTGTCACCTGTGAGGACTAAGATGGAATGCCTCATTTCCAGTAAAAAGGGCCTCCGGCCACCTGCACTCACCAAGCGAAACGCAGAGGTAAACCTCTACTTCACGCTGGTTTTCTGTGAGGTCGTGGTACCACCCTGGTTCGAGCCGGCCCATCCGTGCGGCAGCAAAAGCTGCCGCGTGGCTCTACCACTGTCAAATTAGTATTTATTATTTATTGTATGCGTGTATTGTGAGCATGTACGCGTAGGTATATGGATGTAAAGGAGGCGAGAGTGTGTCAGGATCGTGCCAAATA